AAGGGCAAACCCGTTATATATAATTAACCAACGCAAAAAAAAAAACATCTTGATAAACAAAATATCGACTGCTTTATCTAGAACTTTTCCTGACCAGACCATATAGGATGCCTGAAATTGTTCTAATGTTCGGAACAGTCCTGCTTCCTCAAAACGCTTCCTTTGTGCATGAAACCGATGGCAAATTTTTTGTGCTATGAAGCTATGTGGCATTCAGTCCCAAAAGTAACTGTGACTGGGCTCTATCTTTCTCCACCACACAAAACAGTTGAGTGGATTTTGAAGGATTTGGGAGGGAAGGTTGATGAATAAAAAAACAAAATAGAGACCACAGCTTTATCGACAGACCCCAGTATAGGTGATCCCCTCCTGCTCCAGGTTGACGGTGCTCCAGCCCTCTTTCCCAGCATCACCTCCAAGGTTTTCCATCTCCAGTGTGTCCCTCTCAAAGTCAAGAAGCTCTTCCTCATCCTCCTCCCGATTGCCCGCCAAGCCTGCAAGGCCAACAAAAAGGCACAAGATGAGCAAGGATGTATCAGCAGATCACGCCAAAAGAAGACTTCTTTCATGCACAACTTTTGTCCCCTTGCATTTGAGTTCAGGCACTTCTGGTAATTTTCAAGTCTTTTTTGCTGCTTGGACCTTTTTCTTCACATAAATTTGACTAGAATAATTCATTCTAGCAGGGTAAAAGGCTACTAGCTTCCTAAACCACTTACAGAACAATCATAGCTTTATCAAATGAGATCAAATGGTCATGTGATTACAATTATCTGATTTGGAATATATTGGGATGTAAACTCAGCCAAATGGAAGTTAGTTTGGCATGGCCTGGTTTTGTTGATGTGTTTTATTCCATGCACAATTCACCCCCTCGTTAATGATAAGATGGATGTGGCAGATACTGTTGGCAGATTACTGTGGCTGTAGTGCACCTATATCTACTCAGAGACAAAGATAGCAATAGGTCTTATTCGTGGTGAAGCTGTTTTTATCTTGTTCTCTGAATCTATCGTATCAAATGTAATCTGTTAAAAGGGATGATTTCTGATTGAATGTACAGAATCCAGCCAAATCAAAACTCGTAACCTGAATCTGGTGACTTAATACCCATTTTTCTAGAGACGGTCACACATTGTAAGTAGCCACTAACACCATCTGCTGCAAGTCAATAATGCTCTGGACTTGCTGGCAATGATTTGTAGTCAGTCTCCACAAACACTAAAAGGATTCCCTCAAGGCAATGACAAATGAAGCTCACCGTAGGTAGGGATCTCCCCGAGCGTGCGGCAGAACTCGGATGTTGAATTCAGTGTGATATTGATCCCTTTGCAGGCTGTGGGCCCTGACGGGTCTAGGAGGGGCAACTCTGAGGGTGCTGTTGAGTCTGTGTCCGCAGGTTCCTGTTTGATCTTGGACACCTCCTTGGCAATCTGAAACAGGTATAATACGGGTAAAGGTCGATGTAATTTTTTCTCTTCTTCTTATTTTGGAAGGGGGAGGGAGTAAAACCCCTGACAAATTCGGACCTGGACTGGAATACTTTAATGGTACCAAAGCATAAATAATTCTCAACAGATCACCTAGGAAGGCCAGTTTCACAAATAAACTGTCAATATTCATTTAAATTAATCAACCTCTCCTTGGATACAGTGTAATTTAAGAGGTGTCTGATTCAAACAAGAGAAAAGTTTTTGTATACAAAATCTTCCACGAGGGAGTGTTTGCACATATGTTCATGTGTAATTTGGATGTACATGTCCGTTATGCAAGACAAGTTACCCCTATGGAAATTGCACATAGATGATGTAGGCTAAACAACAAACTCTCTGCTGATGTCTAAGGTAGGAAATTTAATAATAAGACACATTTATGTGACATATTTCAGTACCGATGGACTCTTATTGCAGTTACCGGTAACACCATACTATCCATGCTTACTGGTCTCAGAAACATTTCTATGAATCATCTCAACTCCCTACGGTGTATACAACCATTGATGCAACCATTTCTAGTGCTACCAAATTCATCAACCCCATGTAACCCTCTCTGACCCACAGGCACCCATTTATAGCATTTCTGGTTGGAGAAAGGCAAGTACAAAGTGACTTGTTAAAGGTCACAATGTATGCCCCGTCACAGGGTTCAAATCCGGACCAAACAATCTGCCTTCAGCAGAAGCACCTCTTCATCGGTTGAAAAGAGCCATGTTGGTGGGGACCGTAACCTGTACATATTATGGCCTACCAAAGGAGCCTCCATAGCTAGGAACATTTGTGCCCACTCGGGGCAAACAGGGATTCAAACCCAAACCCCATGGCCAAATATCCTTACAATTTGACAATGTGTTGAACCAACCAACTTAATTCCATCAAGTGATGTACACTTTATACATTATTGGTGCTGCTATTTATACATGGATAGGATGAAGACAATTTTCTTTTTCACTTTTGGTTCTGTTCTTGTCTTGTCATGTTCAGTTCTCACCTTCTCTTCCACTTTGGCCTGCGTCTTGCTCTTCTTCTGTTTGAGTTTACGTGCCTTGGACAAAACCATCTGTAGTTCTTGTTCTGCTTCATCTTCGACCGGCGGGCCGCCGTATAATTCGTCATCTTCATCTGGCCCCATGATTTCAGCTAAACAAAAAACCCAAAACACAGGACAAAACAACTGTTAACTGTCCAGAAAACAGATTCCTTTCTAAATGCACTCAATGATAACAGATAAGATGGGATGACGATAATTGAGGAACTAGCCTTACACGTGACTTAATTTTGAGAAAACACAGTTTTTATATGTGTGTAATTTCCAGACCCGCTGAGCGAGTAGCTTTGAAAATTTCTGCTGCCTATGCAACTATAAGACATCTTTGTCTAGCGGTCTTTGCTCTGGGCACACAGAGGACATCTACAACATGACTGCATCTTCTCCACGTTCACTACAAGGCAAAAACACTAGGACAGTTAAAGATGAAATTCCTTACACTGTTCTATATCTGGTAGGTCCACGTCCATATCCATAGGCTCTTCATCTCCTTGTCCCTCTGTCAAAACTGTCTCCCCATTATCCATAATGGAATCTTCCGCTGGACGCTGCCTCCTTCTTCCCCTGCATTAGAAACATAAGAAAACATTAAAATGTCTTCCTGATGTTTATGTCTCCTGTAAGTAAAATAATTATTGCTGAAATGTATTACTTGTAAAAATTAAGGAAATTCCAAACAATGCCAGAGTTGCAGTTTGTAACAGCTTTAAACAACCAAGCGCATTCTGTAACGTCATTCACTTAAGTGTCAAATGTCAAGATGACAGACCTAGAGGCGTGGTCATCCGACACGTCAAGTCATTCAC